TCTTCAGCGATCGTGTCAGGAAGAGTCACCACTCATTTTTAATGATTTGATTAAATACACAATATCCACCTGCTTTCTTCTTTCTTTCTCTTTGTTTTTCCTTTTTAGAGTGAAAAGAAATTCCGAGAAATAAAGTTCTCCTCTACTAACTTGGATGTTTATAATGGGTATTGGGAAGTCTAAAATAGCCCCCTGCTCTCTTTCTCTCTCTTGGAGTAAAACCCACAGTGTGGATGCAAGTCCAAGACATCATGAGTCAGAATCCCCCAAGTCAGGAGAAATCTCCCTGGGTGATCAGCCAGCACATAGCAGTGCAACAGAGGAGCCAGCAGGAGAGCAGGGGGCAGCTGAGAGAATGAAGGAGATGCCTGCAGAGGAAGCGGAAGAAGATGAGGTGTTCTTCAAATTTGTGATACTGCATGCAGAAAGTGACATAAGTGAAGCCCTCAGAGTCCAGAACCTGCTACAAGATGACTTTGGTATCAAACCGGGAATTATCTTTGCCGAGATGCCATGTGGCAGACAGCACTTGCAGAATTTAGATGATGCTGTTAATGGGTCTGCATGGACCCTCTTATTATTGACTGAAAACTTTTTAAGAGATACCTGGTGTAAGTTCCAGTTCTACTCATCCCTAATGAACTCCGTCAACAGGCAGCACAAATACAACTCTGTCATACCCATGCGGCCCCTGAACAACCCCCTTCCCCGAGAAAGCACTCCCTTTGCTCTGCGCACCATCAATGCCCTAGAAGAAGGGAGTCATGGCTTTCCTACTCAAATAGAAAGAATTTTTCGAGAGTCTGTGTATAAGACACAGCAAACTATCTGGAGAGAGACACGAAGTATGGTACAGAGGCAATGTGTTGACTGAGACCAACACAGTACCTGAGTGGCTCTTGTGACAAGAGATTTGTCTTCATTCTAGGAAATTTTAAACTAAAAGAGAGCCTTATTCTTACTAATGGTATAAATAAAGTAAGGACGTCTCTGCCGGACCACCTATGGAAATGTACCTTTTAAATTTTATATATATATATATAATTTTTGATGAAAATATGTATCACATATAATTGTTGATGAAAATATGTATCACCGAACATACCCATTCAAATCTCCCTTTACAGAACATACATTCTTCATAGTATGTCACTGTTCTCTCGGACTGGACCCATATTGTTTCACCACTATTTAGCTTTTGTTTCCTTGGCCTCTTCATATTTGCATTTGTGTTTTAGAGTTCCTGTTGTCTACTGAATCTCATATAGATAAATCTTTAAAAGAGCAAAATGTTCAAGACCGACATTATTTATTAATTGAGCTAAACTGTTGCTTTGTTTACCGATGATGTCATTGGATATTTTCAACTCAAGGTTTAAAATCTAGATCCAGGAATTTCCCCAGTCTCAATGGATACAGTAGCAACTCTGATTTCCATAAAAAGTTGACGTTCGAGGACACGTTTTTCTCCTTTCGGTCAAGATCTATCTGAGTTGGTGAAAGCACTCAGTGCGGGCAGCCAGACACTAAGCCTCTCCTCTGGCTTCATGGTGCAGGAGAAGATTGCTGTGAAGGCCGTTCCCATGGGAGGCCACGTCTTCCTCCAGTTCTTGAGTCTTCATTGTCTCTGGCTCCCAGTAGAGACCCATTGTTAAATCTTGGGTGACTTCTGGCACCCATTCAAGGCAGCAGGTGCGATGGAGATGTAGTACTTTTCCATGATTTCATAAACTGGAGATGATCTGTTTCAAGAATTTTAATGGTTTTCTTGGTTTGTGGATATGACAAAGTATTTTCAATTGATATTTCTTGAATTGAACCTTGGACAAAAAGATACATGACAGAACTTTTTAAAAATGATAATGCTTCCATTTACTGAATTTTGTTCTTTTCAGAGAACACAAAAGAAAATGGCCGCAAGATATCTGAGCATTTCTCTTGAGGCACCCTTTATAAACAGTATAGAGAGAGCATTCTTGTTATGATCACCTAGAGGTACAGATTGCAGGGAAAGAAGGTTTAGAATGTCGAGTGCCAATTAATATGAAGTAAGTAGATGTAAGCACGGTAGAGCTTTTTAAATTAATCAAAAGTGCTTTTCTTTCTGTTGGAATTTGCAGGTTTGGAGACGATATTTACTATCGATTAGCAGCCTACATGATCGTTAGAAACTGGTTAGAAACTTCATAGAGTGCTGATGAGATGTCCCCGGGAGCCTGCAGCTCTCCAACTTAGTCATTATTTATAACTGGGGTTTTATTTGCACAGCTTCTGAATGGTATATGTTTGTATATGCTTGACCAGGTGCTCCTATTTAAAAAGAATGTTCTCCCTGGGGCAGCCTTTGCCAATTCTCACATACTGTGCATCTGTGGACTCCAGCTACCTGAGTGTATGTGTATCTTTGTGGATTGTTTTTAGAGACTTTGGGTAGATGTGTATGCATTGTTTCACCTGCTTTTCTAGTGTCCCAGGGTCATGATCAACCAGAGAAGCCCAAGCGGGACTATTCCTTCCCCTCCCTGCCTTTCTGTCCATCTTAGATCAAGGAAGCCACACCAAGTACAGACTGGGGGTGCAGTGAAATGAGTCCTGCTATTTTGTAACTAGGATGATACCCAACAGGGAGTCAGGAGAACTGGCTGGGTCCGGTCTCTGCCACAATGATAGGACTGTGAGATGAAAGCATTGGCTTGCTGGGCCTTGTCCGCTCCCAGCAAGTGGAAAACGGAGGACCAGAAAAGGGACTGAGTGAGAAAAATAGAATTTTAGAATGAGACATGTAGTTGCAGGAGGGTTAACATACACTTACAGTTACGAAATAGTTTCATCTGTTCATAGTTTAATTGACTTTAAATCCTTTCTATTTTACTTTCATCATTACTAAAAGATAATAATAATGCATTGTGTACTTGGGTTTTAAATATATTTTTTCATAGGGACCAAAGACATTGTGCTAAATTTTTCTTTCTTCTTAATCCCTGATAGTACAAGGTTTGGTCACATAAATTTCGTAATCTTTTCTTTACATTTTTTCACAAACTTTTTAAAGTCCTCTCATACTTCTGAGTCCGCCTCATCGTGGTTTCAAGTCCAGTAGCCCTACAAGTCAAGCCTGACTCTGTTAGTACTTATTAAATGAGAAGAATGTTTTCATTGCATGGTGACATTTTCTTGACATAAAGTCTCCTTCTATCACAGTCTCTTACTACTCTTCTTTTTCAATTTTAAATATAAGTATTCCTTTGTGTATTTTCTGGTCATAATGTTCCCTGTACCTCAAATTTTGTGTACTCATGCAACATTGACCTTTGTGCCTGCCAAACTTGAAGCAACTAGTGCTGAACAGTATTTTTAAAATAAATATTTATTTGCTTTTTCCTTGACTAAGATTGATTTATGACTCCAGTGAAGATCAATAGATCACTAGGCCTTTCTTCCTTGTCCGTCTGAGTCTAGAAGCTCTGCTGAAACCTGGTCAGCGTCAAAGCAACACAAAAGCATCAATTAACTGGCAAGTGGTGGCTGCCTATGAGATACAGTGCACGGAAATGGAAGCCAGGTTTACTGCTTAGAAGGTGTGTATGGAAGGTGAGATTCTTACCACTGAAATACCATTGCCTGGATCTCCATGAAGATTATATAAATGTGCTTTGATAAAAGAGTATCAACCTGCACTTCATTACAGAGCATCAGACTCAGTGGTCAGATTCAGTTGGTTTCCACGTTTTTGGCAGAACTAGTACCTAATGTTTTGTTGAGTTTAGCAAACTGGGTATTAAAATAGCTCTAGTACTCAGGGTTCTCTCTAAGGTGTGCCACTGGGAATTGTGAATATAAATCACAAGTTTGTATTCCTTACTCTTTTATAACAGTCATCTATCTGTACAACACTGTATTCTAAAAGCCCTTAGTAACGTCCATTCTGTCCACCAGTATAAGAAATTAAATGAAACTCCGCTTGTTGTATTTATTTATTTCCTAAGACTTTATATATTTTTGAAGAAATACTCCACTTTTATTCCCTCGTATTTGTTACTCCAGTAATATATATATAAAAGAAAAAAAGCCAAACAACCAGAGGGTGATTCGCTGCCATTCGTTTCAGCTTTGTGTTACACTCCAAATTCCCACGAGAGATTATAAATGAATTACACAACTCATAAAAATGCTTAAAGGGCTAACGGTATTGTCAGAACAACTGCTGTTAAGTGTATCAGAAGCTGAAAGGGATTTTTCACAGATGAACATAATATATTCAAGTAAGAGAAGTTGCCTGTGTCTTGTATACCAAGCACAAGGACTTGTCTAATTGGCCTACCTCTAAAGGAATGGGATACTCCTACTACAGTGAAAAGATGGCTAAGGATAAAGCACGTGGCTGATGTTACTCAGATAAAAGTGAAGAGTATTGCAAGTGAGGACGGCAATCCAGAAGCAAAATGGAAATATTTTAAATAACAGCTTTATTGTTTTTGTCAGATATTATTTAATATGTGAATTTATTTTCATTAATATTTTTCGATCTTTCTTTTCTTCGATCTTTTCTTTCAAAATATCTAGTTTTATGTTCCTCTTTTATTATTATTTAAGGATTGACTATACGAAATAATAAACTACCTTTCAGTATATATATATTTTTTTTCAATAAAGAATTTTAATGGGTTCTCTTACAGCTTTTACAACAATTAATACATCCATTGTATCAAGCACATTTATATATATGTTGCCATCATCATTTCAAAACATTTTCTTTCAACTTGAGCCCTTGGCATCAGCTCTTTTTTTCCCCTCCCTCCCCCACCTTTCCACCTCATGAACCTTTGATAAATTGTTAGTATTTTCATATCTTACACCATCTGCTGTCTCTGTTTACCTGTTTCTGTTGTCTGTCCCCTGATGAGTGTCAGTATATATATATTTTAATACCTAAAATGGTCATTAGGGTAGCAAACCAATTTATTTATTTGAATCCCACCACTTATCACACCTGATAGTATTTTTGATGATGAAGAAACAATAGTGATTATAACTATATGATGAAATTAATAGTTTTAATAGTATATCATCAAGATAGTGAAATGGAAGCTGAAAGGAGGTCAAGAGTCAATGCTGTGTTATTTGTGAATGCACACATGTACACACGTAGATATAGCTACACAAACGGGGAATTCGGAGAAAATGCTCTATAATCTGAGGCGTGTTCATTACAAGTACTCTGTGGATATTAATGCCGTACTAAAGCTACACATCTGAGGTGTGCCTTATGTATTGGCTATGATGCTTTCAGCTTTCAGAAACATAAACCTGGTGTCATATGACCTAAACCACAAATGATTATCTAAGTTACAGTGGCTCAAGAGGTTCTTAAAAACCCAGGTTCTAGCTGTCTTCTTGCTCTGCCATCCTTAGGGTTTCATTCGTATTCCCTTCAGTTGTTCCATGGCTGCTACAGTGTCTGGCCCTACATACCGATACGGCAATGACCGGCATAACAAAATGATGGTAGTGGTCTGCCTAGTGGAGCGAGCCTGCTGCTGATTGTGGGGGTTATTTCAAATCCTAAACAAGTTCAGCACTTCTTCTCAGAGTGGTTGTGATGGTTCAGTGCTGTTGAGTTGGCTCTACCTCATGTTGTTCGTGTGTAAAACAGAATGAAGCATCACTCAGAGTGGCCCATCCTCACAATTGTTCTTATGTGTGAACCGGCTGGTAGCCATTGTGCCAGGTCATCTCGGTGAGCGTCATCCTCTTTTTCTATGACTGGCTGCCTTTTCCAGGGACCGATCTCTCCTGATAACATGTCCGAAGTATGCAAGATGAGGTCTCACCATCCTCCCATCCAAGGACTATTCTAGTTCTACTTCCTCTAAGACACATCTCTTTGTTCTTTTGGCAGTACGAGGTACTTTTAATATGTTTCAACAGCCCCATAATTAAAATTAGCAATTCTTTTCCAGTTTTCCTTATTCATTGTCCAACTTTCACATTCATATGCGTCAGTT